TCTGGTATTCAGCACAAATGGATCCTTCCCAAAATACTGTTGACATATTTTTCAGAGAAGACATCCAATTTAACTGTGGAAAAACTTCAGCAAAGGCAGTCCTGATGAGAATGAAGACAGGAGACCCAGCAGAAAAATTTCAGGGCTGTGGGCTAGTTTGGGAAGCTCAAAATAATAATCTGGAGGAAGACACAAAACCAACACAATTATGCCTACATAATCGCTGGTAGTTGAGGTTGGCTCAAGGAACTCTTCGAGTGAACCATTAGAAATATTGAACAATAGTGTCAATTCCTGCAGATTTAAGCTAACATACATTGAATTGTAGATCATTGGACCTCAACCTGGAGCTATGTGGGAGCCGATTGCATGATATTCCCAAATATTTGGGTGTTCCCGATCCAACCACAGTGGGAAAAATAATGCAGATGTGCCATTGTCTCACAATCAACTCTGGAACATTGCTTAGCAACAACTTTGGACCAACGGTCGCTTTGCAGTTGAATGATTTGGGCCAGAAAGCAGGAGAAAAGGAACATACCCCGTTGTGCCAAACTGGCTTTTGAGGCATATTTGACACAACAGCTTTCCATGCCTTTGGAAGTAGTCATATTATATTTTTCGGCACGGCTAGAATAAATTACGTTATTCTAATCGACTTAATGTATTACTGAAGCGAAGTGTGGTCAGCTCTACTCCAAATCAGTCAAAACGGTGTGGAAAAAAACATACGGAGTCAGTGAAAGCTGGACATGGGGGCCAGATGGTTCTTTTGGCTCCAGAAGCAGTGATGGGAGTGGCTTGGTGGGTGTGGCAGGGGAAGGACACTGTAAAATCTCCATTCCCTCCTCACTCCTGGGGGAAAATCCCATTCCCTCCCCACCTCACTAACCTGCTTTCCAGCTCCGTTCTCCTGGGCAGGGCAACCAAAGAAGACCCAGCCAATCAACTGGGACTCGGGAGGAGGCGGAGAATAGATGGGGGCGGGGCCAGTCAGAGGTGGGATTTGCCAGTTCTGCGAACTACTCAAAATTTCCACTACCTCCAGAACTGATCAGAACCTGCTGAATTCACCACCTCTGTCCAGAAGAGCAATAAATGAGTTCCACCAGTTCTGAGGGCATCTCTACTTTTCGTAGAAGGCATCCCTGCCGAATACCGAATGGTAGTAAAGCTGCTGCGTTGGCCAGCTGTTCCCCAACTCTTTGACTTTATTCTTTTGCTTTGCTTTTTCCTGTCGTTTGTTTCTTCATCCCTGTCTAAGCAATCGTTCTCTCCCTCAAGGATATCCATGTTGGCTTTGTACCGCTTTAGAGCAGAGGTGGGAAATCCTAGCTTTCTTCAATGCTGAATGACGGTTTTCTGGATCCTTCGTTGCTCTCCTTTTTGGCTGGAGTGCCTGGAAATTGTACTTTGGTTCACTTTGGCTCTTGTCAGCCTCCCCAGGTAGACAGGAAACGAGAGCCGATGAGCTAATTCACTTTATTGTAAGGCTACATTAGCAGAATCTTGCAAGTTTTAAAATACACTTCTCCCACCATCACTTTGATAGTCTGATAATTTGGAGTTGGTCTCTTGCTCTGCCCCCTGTGGATCTGTGGGCTATGTCCCCTTTGATCTGACCCTTCCCTAGGTGTGATGACCCAGGGTGGGACACAAAACAAACACAGTCACAGAAAACAAGTGAAGCCCCATTTAATCCTTCAGTTTGCTTCCAAGCTCTGAATATCTTTGACGGAAGACAAAAACACTCCTACACAAACAGTTACACCAAGAAGGAAAAAAAAGCAACACAAACCAGGCAAGATAAGGGCTGGAGGATGTCCACAGATAACACACACTGGGAAGGACGCCAAACTCAGAGAGGAACTATAAACTAGATATTTACACACTTTGTTTCTAGCGTTTGCCAGTACGTAGGTCCAAACTCTTATTCAGTTGTCACACCTGCAGCCCATGAAGAGGATCAAGGCCCTCTCCTCCCGAGGAGACCACGTCTCTCAGCCGGTCTCTGCCCTTCCCCTGCCTCCTCCACAACCTCTGGAGCCACACTTCCACTCCCTGTCGACTTCTTCCTCCTCTCCCTCAAAGTCAGTCTCTACCAGGGGCATGACGCTGGGCAGTCTTGCTTCAACTTGTCTTTCAAGGTCATTCCCAAATACCATAACATGCAGATTCCCCACTATGAAGTTACACCCTTGTGTTCTTGCTCTAAGCACATTCATGCTTCCTGATTGACAAGCCTTTTGTGTATTAGTAATAAATATCTAATGCCATCAAGGAAGCCTCAAGTACGGCCTCCATCATTGTACAGCAGCGTCTCTGAATTAAAAGAGGGCAATAATAATCATGCTGGGTAGATAATCAAGCCACAGTAATAATACAATATATTTAGAGGATAGCAGATTAAGGAAGGCTGATTCATGCCCCCACTTTTTTTGAAGGGGGTCAGATGAGGTGATGTTCACATCTATAATTTACATTTTTCGGAAGCCGTCCTACTCTCGGGTATAGGAGGAATTTTCAATGCTATGATCTCTGCAGGTGGCAAAATGAGGTCTAAAGACATCTGGTTGGCTCTGTTTAGTTGGAAAAGAAATAAGGCTGGTTTTTGTCCAATTATGACATCTTGCAGTAATTTTGTCCTGTATTATCTTTTTTTGTTGTTTCTGCGCTGTACTGTCCAGACTCTGAATCATAAAATGTTCACATTGAAGTTAAAAGTGATTTCGTTTTGGAGAACTGTTTCAATGGCGAATGTATAGATTTATTTTATTGTCTTATCATGAATAGTAGTCAAAGGAAATATTTGCTGGGCTTTGGGACACCACATTTGGGTGGCTATTATTTCGCTGTTCTTCCAAAACATGGGTAATTAACTGTATTAAAGGCATCCAAACAGGTACCTGATTAAAATTAAAATTTCTGACAAGTGCTGGAAGAGTACACAAAATAAATAATAATCAAAAGGTGTTCCTTGCCATATAGCATCATCCCAAATAGAATTTTAGAGCACATTCTCCAAAAACATTTGAAACAAGCAAAGGTTTTTCCCTTTTCTTATTCCATTAATGGGACAGTGAGTGAGCAGAGTGGTGCCTACCTATTTTGGAAACTTGGAAGAGTTTGTAAGAACATCTCTATTTATTGTCCCAAAGGTGCTTTTTCAAGAGTCAACTGGACTTTTTGGTTTTTCTTTGAAGACATTTCTCTTCTCATCTAAGAAGCTGCTTCAACTCTGGAAAAACCAGAAAGTCCAATTGCCTCGTGAAAAAGCACCTTTGGGACAACCATGATCTGGATGACTGAAAATCCCCATAGATATTTTGTAATCTCTATTTATTGAATGCACATCGCATTCAAGTGGGAAGCAGTGAAGCCAAAATGGCTTCATCCAGGGTCACAGCTATATCCAAATTGAAAATTGCAAAGCTGCGCCCTCTTCCCACACACAAAAATTAAACTCCCCTCGAATAAAAGGATTTATTCTTGCAGGGAAGGGTTTAACAGGGAAGCAAACTAACAAGTCAGCTTATACTGGAGCTTATTTAATGACCTTGAAGCTGAAGCACAATGGCAGACATTAACGATCTTTCTGAATGATTCCTAGGGTCCCAGCCAAGACAGAATATAGCATTATAGTGTTAAGGGACCACAAAATCCTGTTTTGAGGGTGCCACGGACTAAAATGCAAACCATCGAACATACTTGCAAGAATCAAGCTTGAACTGAAAGAATTGAAAGTTGATGGGCTGAGAAAGAAAAAAAAAAAAAGAAGAGGAATGTTTCTTTGCTATATTTTTCCATTCTTGTTGAAAAACCAAGCTGGGGAAAGGTTTTTTTGTGTTTGTAAGCCAGGAACAATTGTACAAACAGGCCAGTCTTCCAAAATCTTTTCAGTTGTAGATTGTTTCTCTCCATGCCATGACATCTTTTTGCCAGCTTTCTCTCAAGCATTGCTCTGTTGCTTTCCACCAACATAATCTCATGGGAAGGGCTATTGATTAGTTACAGACCTAGGCGTTTTTTGGAGAAAGGGGAAAAAAATAGGAAAAGGCTATTCTCAAGTGCCCTCTAGTGGCTTATTTACTAAAGTGGAAATGATTGTAACCATCTCTCAGTTATGAACAATCTTATCTCTGGTTCAATACATTTGACAGAGAACAAAAGGGTCATGAAGTATTGATTGTTCAGCATGTCACATGCTTGCCTGATCAACGTTTTGGCTTTATGGTAGTGAGCTTCTTGCTCTTGTGAATTTCATGTTTAAACATTTGTATACATATTTGCAGAGAAGAAACAAGTAAGAATTTCAGCGGCTGAAAAACAGGGCTCCAATGCGTTTAAAATTTGCTTATAACAAGTAGAATTAGATAAGGCCTGCTTACTTTGTGTCACATTAATGCAGCAGCAATTTTCTAGCTTTGATGAGCTCTTTACTATGGTCTTGCCAGACCAGGATTGCAACTTGAAATAGGTCCTCTAGTCCTGCACTTGAATGCCTTGTGGACTCTATTCAACTCAGCTAATCAGACACATTTTCACATTGGACGGCGGGACACTGAAACGTCATTGTGTTGCCAAGTGCCCAAATTGAGACCATGAAAGTGTGGGGATGGTGTGACATCCACAATTGCAAGGACCCATTGTAAGCCCTCCTTGTTCTGTACAGTCTTCACTTCAGTCATGGAATGTGGACTATCTATAACTGATTCCGAGTGTCCTTTTAAATTGCAGCTTGTTTTTAAAACAGTTCCAGTTCAAATTTGATTGGAAGATTATGATTGTGAACCAGGGTTTTGGGGTAGGTTTCAAGTAGTCTCTGAAAGTTAGTTATCTTTGGCAGATTCCTCTCCCTACAACAGCACTAAGTAAACACGGCCGGAGTGATCTATATTCTTTTCCTTGCAGTAATGTTTTAAAATCCATCTCTCCCTTGTAAGAAAAAAAAATCCCGCAATTTTCTATCAAAGTTTATTTACATTTTAAAAACATGTACAAAAATATACTGTATAAAAGGGTTTTCTTTATTTCTGCCCAGTTGATCCAAAACCACCTGAGCCACGTTCCGTTTCATCCAAAACCTGAAAAATAGAAGAAATTCATTTAATTGAATAACAGAGGAAAAAAAGTTGTAAAAGAAAGTGCACACATTAATTCCCAATTGTGGTCCTCACTAACCACAATTGGGATTGCCAACTGTCACAAAGAGACAGTCATAAAATGTAACATTATATGACTGTGCCAGACTTATAGCATCATGTGACCCTGACTTGCCACCCACTTTTTCACTGACTTTGCTTGTTGAAAATTGCCATGAAGGTCACAAATAATGACTGTGGGATGCTGTGGTTGGCATAAATAAGTACCTGTTGGGAAACCAATTATGTGACTTTGGGGACCCAACTTGCGATGGGTGCAAGTTCAGTCCCCGATGTGGTAAATCTCTTTTCTTAGTGTTGTTGTAAGTTCAAATGGTCACTGAACAGTCTACTTCTATATTCACATATGTAAACACCCTAAACATTCTAATAAATGACAACCTAGGTTTCTTATAATCATCCATAACTAATATATTTTCAGAAGGAATTTGTTATATTGCTAAAAACTCAATTCTGCAGACCACTGACAAAAAAAATTGAGCTTTTGAAGTAAATGTGAACCAAATAGATTTCACCCTTATCTCTACATTAAATAAATCCTTTTAATTCCCATATTTTATTAAATAGTAAGATATCTGGGTTAGCAGTTATTTCTTACCTTGACTTCTTCAAGAACCGGATAGTAGATGCGCTCACAGATTAGTTGAGCAATCCTGTCACCTTTTTTAACTTAAAAAAATTAAATTAAATTAAAAACAGATATTGTTTAAAAAACACACACATTATCAAGACATTGTCAAATAATTCTAAGGAAAATGCCAGAACAATACTGCGTAATTAAACTAAGGACAATGTAAGGAAATGGCTTGTTTCTCCTCTTGGAGATTGGATGCTTATAAAGTCCAATTGGATACATATTATTTACATCAGGGTTCCCCACTGTGGTCAATATCATTCTGCAAGGGTCAATGGGACTACCTGTTATTGTTTTGGCTATTATTGATAAGTGCTGTTGGTAGTATTTATTTTCATACACTAAATGTTTGGAAGACAAAGAACAATCTAAAATTTAATAAAGAGGTTGATAAGCCAAAGAGTTTGAGAAATGTTGGTTAATGCTATATTTGCAAAGGCAATATACATGTTCCCATCAAGGGAGAATTGTCCTGAAGCGGTTGCTCTGTCAAAACTGATCAACACTCACCTTTTACATGTATATTCTAATTTAAAAGCAGGAAATTTAAGGAAAGTATCAGCTTCACATTATTATTTTTTTACCTTTAAATGGTTCCTTTCCAAAGTTAAACAATACAACACCAACATTTCCCCTGTAGTCCTCATCAATTACTCCAGCTGTTAAAAAAAGAATGCAACAGTGTAGATGTTTCACTGTATATTTGAGACCAATATATATTCAATTAACGCACACGAAAAAAACAAAAACAGCCACTACCAGATCAACCAGGTTAGCTATGCTGGCAAGCCTCAAAAGCAACTGGGTTATGGTCCACTGCACAAGATTATTTTACCATTTGCACAGGAATTTGTTACGCCTTTAACTCTTTTTTTGATATCTGTAATAGATAAGGATATATATTGCAAATATTGCTTTAAATTCACTTTAGCAATGTGTTTCTATGATACATCTAAGAGTATTAATCCAGTAACAGAGTTTACTCTTTAGTTGTACTTAATTTCAATTAAAACTGATGAGGCAGAAGGCATGACTTAAAATCTACTACGTTTAGTAGAGCATTAGTCTTATTAGCTCAGGAGCAAATGAATCAATGTGAGGATTCCTTAAAACTAAAAAGTTTGAAAATGTTTGTTTCCAAACATTGCTTAATTGAAATAAATATATGCAGTGGATAAATGTATCTAGCCAACTATAATTCTACAGAGCTTAGTTCACGGTCAATTGTTTTAACAGATGTGCTTTAATTAACTTGATCATAAATTATTGCAAAGAACATATGCTCCATCGTTTAGCTTCACTAAAATTATAGGGAGCTTATTTTTATTTTTTTTTGCCATCTTATCAAATATGCAAATTAAAGTAAATAAGCAAAACCACATTTTGGAGCCTGTCAATTTATTTCACTAAGAACTGTTTTTTCTAAATTAAGAATGATGAAATGTGCATTTTATGCTGCAGCAGCTAAATGCATATACTGATATAATTGCATTCAGAAACAATTACTCACCACCAACATCAATGAAATGATTTACAGCTAATCCAGATCGAGGAGCTTAAATCAAAGACAGAAAAAGTGTTAATTATGACTCTTTTAATTTTCACAAATAAAAGTTTAGCAAACTTATAAGATTACAATTTTTCTGTTTAACAACTTACCAACTCGACCATAGCAGCCAGTAGGAAGGGCAATCTGAATATCTGTTTTCACAACAGCTTTCCCTGCGGCAGGGACCTCACAGTCATATGCACTACAAAACAAACAGTGCAGTGTTGGGGGTTTTCAGTTCAATGTGTGGGGTGTGAAGGATGTGTGTGTTGTTTATTTTCATGGTCATGATGTGCACTGAAGATGGTGTTCGATTTTGTTGTACAAAGTGCAATGACAATAAACTAAAACTAAACTAAAAATGAATAACTAGGGGGAAAAATCAGTAAGTTCAAATTGTATGCAGAAATCATTTCTTTTTATACATTTTTTTATACACAGGTAGTTCTCGACTCATGACCACAATTGAGCCCAAAACGTATGTTGCTAAGCAAGACAACTGTTAAGTGAGCTTTGTCTCACTTTCTAGCCAGTTAAGTGAATTACTGCAACAGCAATAGCACTTACTTATATACCACTTTACAGTGTTTTACAGCTCTAAGCGGTTTTACAGAGTCAGCCTCTTGCCCCCAGCAATCCGGCTCCTCATTTTATCCATCTCAGAAGGATGGAAGGCTGAGTCAACCTTGAGCCTGGTGAGATTCGAACTGCCAAATTGCAGGCAGCCGGCAGTCAGCAGAAGTAGTGTGTTCTAACCATTGAACCATTGCAGCTGTTAAGCTAGTAACATGATTAAGTAAATCTGGCTTCCCCATTAATTTTGCTTGTCAGAAGGTATTGTGGCTCGCCAGCGGAGCTGGTGGCAGACTCAGTGAGGAGGTTGGGGAGGAACACGGGCCAGTCCTGGAGTCTGGGGAAGGCTCTGACGAGGGCTTTTCATTGGAGGCAGAGATGGGGCCAGGGCCATCTGACAGTTATCAACTGCCTTTGGAATCGGAGATCAGTGGGGCAGAAGAACAGCTGGAGCCTGTTCCCAATATGCACATGTGCAGAACTGCCAGGAGAAGGAAACAATTAAGGAACAACAGTCAACTCAGGAGTAAAGCCATAAGTGGACAGTGAATGGCCCTCCCATAGGGAATAAAGAGCAAAAGAGGAGCAGTGTCTCCAGAAGACAATTAGTTCATTTAACTAGGGTGAAGATTTGTTTGCTATGGCCTGGCAACTCTCCAACCGTGATAAGGTCTATAGTTGTAAATCACTCTTGAAAGATTGTTTGCCGGGACTTTGCTGGATATGAATGAGAGGAATTCACATTAGCCTAAATATAAGGGGTTTTGTTGGGACGAGGAGTCTGCTTCATGATTTTGTGATGCTTAGGTCAGAACAGAAGGTCCCAAAACCCCATCAAGTGACCCCAGGACATTGCAACCCTCATAAATGTGAGTCAGTTGCCAAGTGTCTCGATTCCGATCACGTGACCACAGGGATGCTGCCAAGGTTGTTTAAGTGTGAAAAAACGGCAGGGGTGGGATTCTACTGGTTCGGATCGGTTCTATAAAACCGGTTATGATTCTGCGCAGTTCAGAGAACCGCCAAACCACGTCTCTGGCTGGCACCTCCCCTCCCCATCCAGTCAGTCCTTATTGCGCCTGCGCGACATTGCTTTCTGCATTCTCCCCCGGTCCCAGTCGCTACTTAAGGTATTTCTTTCCCTCCTCCCAACGATCAGCTGTTCTGAGGATCAGCTGTGCCGGGATCCCCCTCGCTGTCTTACTGCTTCGCCCAGGAGGCTTCCCTGAGGCCCAGGAGGCAAAAAGGGGTGTGGGGGGGTTGCTGGTGTGAGGGGTGCATCCCCGTGCTCCATTTTTTTTCCTTCCTGGGCCCCAGGGAAGGCTTCCTGGGAGCAAAGCCCCCCCCCCAATAGAAGGCTTCCCCAAGGCCCAAAAACCAGGGTGGGGTGGGGTGCTTCCCAAAAAAAGAAGCCAGGCCTACAGAACCGGCTGGTCGTAAGTCATATTTTTCAGTGCCGCTGTCACTTTGAACGGTGGTTAAACTAATGCTTGTAAGTCGAGAATCATCTGTACAACGGTGTCCCTGCCGTCACAATTGACATTCATGCAGTTTGCGGTTGGTGGGAATGTTGCATTAATCCACAGCGGCCCGATTGCCGTTTGCACGCTCACAACCGCCTTCCAACGAGGAGAATCAATGGAGAAGCCGGCAATAATATAGCAAACTGTGTCCCTGCCGTCACAGGTCTCATTTAACGATGCCATTGCTTAGCAACAGTTGCTGGTCCCCCCATTTGAGGTTGTTAAGCGAGGACCACCTGCAGATTGGAGTTACAGGTGGATCTTGGATTCAAATGAATAAATTATTGTTTTATTTGTACCAGTTTATAGTCTTATTTGCTTGGAAAAGTACTGGGAGACAAACTGTTTTATCGGTTAGCACAGAATACTCTGAAAAAAGCCGTCTAAAATTCAAACAGCTCAATATTTATTATTTAAATTCATATAGCTGCCCATTTCACATCTGACAGCCCACCATTAAAAAGAACAATGCGGCAATGACTGTTTCATTAAAGATCGGTTTCAAGCTGTAAGAAGTCCACCCTGTTTCTTGTCTCAAATGTGGTTTTTTCCCCCCCAAAAAGGCAGCTGGACTTTCTTTGAAAACGTTTCACTTCTCTTCCAAGAAGCTTCCTCAGTTTATCTGAAGAAACTTCTTGGATGAGAAGCGAGACATTTTCAAAGAAAACATCAAGAAAGTCCAGCTGCCTTTTGGGGAAAACAACAACTTTGAGACAATTGTGGCCTGAAGTTTCCACAGAAAACCCTGTTCTTTCCTACCTGTACAAATCGTAGCCCGCCGACCGGGAAGATCCTTTAGAAGGCGCAAAAGCGTTTTCGGTCAGCTTGACGAAACGCAGGGTCTGATAAACCGTGTCGCCGTTGGGACTATCCAGCGCGGCGCTGGAAGATTCTCCGGGGATTATTGTGGAGACTGGCATGGCGAAGGCGCGAAAAAAGGCGGCTAATTCTGAGGGAAAAAAGAAGACTGAGAGATGCCCCGAAAGCCCGCGCTTTTTTTTTTTAAAAGGAACGGCCTGCGGCACCAACGGCCAATGGGCGCGCGCGGCAACCAACGGCCAATGGGCGCGCGCGGCAACCAACGGCCAATGGGCGCGCGAGGACCCCGTTAGGACCCCCCAATGGGCTCAGGGCGGAGGCGGGATTTGCCCTGTCTTGTCAGAATAATAAAATAATAATAATAATGACGTTGGGTCGTCGTCCGAATCGGGATGTTCTTAAAGGGGGAAAAAAAGAAATAGAGAGCCTAAGTCTCTGGGAATTTCATTTCGGACTTGGGCAGTCTTTTCTGCCTCTTCCAAGAGAACGGTCGCCAGAAGTGCCTGGTTCGATGTGTGAGGGGGGTTTCGGGGAGGAGGGGGTTTCGGGGTGGAAGGACCCGCTCAGCCTCCCTCATCCCTACTTGAGGGGCTTGGCTTGCTAATTTCAGTCAGATAAATAAAATGGCGGCTGCTTTTCTTGCGGGAGGCAAAAAAAAAAAACAACCCCACCCGCACGAATGAGGTTGTTTAACTGAGCTACCGATTTCCCCCGTCGTTGCGGTCTGCTTTTAGGACGGAACCCAACCCCCCGCGTATAGGAATGGTTTTGCCCAACGGTGTTCGGCGAGGCCGAGAGGGCCCTATTACTCCTTATGGAAGAGTCCACCTTCCTCTAAGGATGGGGGGGTGGGGGTGGTTAAAGCTTTGTCCTTACTGTGCTTGAGGCAGCGCAGGGGAGTCATGGCAGCGTCTGAAGGACCTTTTTTCGGCCTCGTGTTGCTCGTTCTTCTGCCTCCGAGACCGGAGAGGGAGAAAAGCAGCCTCGCTGTCTCTGGTAGATCGGGAGGAGGCTAAGATGGCAGCCTTGTCTTTTCTCCCCTTCTCCTCGGCCGGGGGTCGAGAGAAGTCAGGAAGGCTGCATTCACACGAGACGTCTTCTAACCAGGGTTTGGCTTCAGAGGCCTCGATTAAGACCCAGCCTCGCTTCCCCGGGGTGACTTTGCCTTGGGAGAAACCGGAACACGGACCCTTTTAGGAAAAGCTGCTCAGGTGGGATTCCCTGAATGGGGATGAAGGAGCCTTCAGTTGCATGAATGGAGGGCTAGGAACGAACCACCCACATCTGCCCAGAGACCTTGAGGATGATATCTATATATGTGTTTAGAATAGAAATAGGAATAGAATAGAATAGAATTCTTTATTGGCCAAGTGTGATTGGACACACAAGGAATTTGTCTTTGGTGCATATGCTCTCAGTGGACATAAAGAAAAAATAAAATACATTCATCAAGAATCATAATATACAACACTTAGATAATCATAGGTTACTAATAAGCAATCAGATCATACTAGGAAACAAAACAATATACATTGTAAAGATACAAGCAACATGGTTATAGTCATAAATGGGTAGAGATAGGTATAACACAATTATAGTCATAAGTAGAAAGGAGACAGGTAAAGGATGAGAAGAATAATAGTAATACGGTCTTAGTAGTTTGACAGTGTTGTGGGAATTAATGGTTTAGCAGAGTGATGGCATTCGGGGGAAAACTGTCCTTGTGTCTAGTTAATCTGTAAAGGGCTGTAAAGCACTATAAAGTGGTATATAAGTAAGTGCTATTGCTATTCTGGTGTGCAGTGCCCTATAGTGTCATTTTGAGGGTAGAAGTTGAAACAGTGTATGTCCAGGATTCATTTATCAGTCAAATTTATGCAGGTAGTCCTTGACTTTTAACAACAGTTCATTTAATGACCATTCAAAGTTACAACATCGCTGAAAAAGGTGACTTGCGACCATTTTTCACACTTGCGACTTTCAACGTCTGCACGGTCATGGGATCAAAACTGAGCCGCTTGCTTGTCAACTGACTCGTATTTTTGACCGTTGCAGCGTCCCGGGGTCATGTAATCCCTCCTTTTGCAACCTTCTGACTGGCAAAGTCAATGGGGGAAACCAGATTCACTTAACCCCTGTGGTACTAACTTAACATTTGCAATGATTCACTCAACGGTGGCAAGAAAAGTTGTAAAAAGGGGGAAACTCACTTAACAAATTTCTCACTTAACTTAAATTTGGGGCTCGATTGTGGTTGTAAGTTGAGGATAGCCTGTATAATTGCCCATCTTTGGAACTCTGTTTATCAAGATTATATAGCCATCTACCCCACATGTGAGAAACAAGCCATTAAAACCAGATGTAAATGTAATCAATGGACTACCATCATATACACAATGTAATCTTGTGGGCTCCCTTTTTAAATTTTATTAAATTTTTATGCTGTCCATTTCCCCTGCAAGATGATTGGGTGGATCCCTAAATCCATGGGATCCTGAAGCCTGCTGGAAAAAAACATATTTTAATAGATTTCTGGAAAGTTGTTGTTCTCCTTTTTTTGTTCAGAGGTTGCCAGACAAAGAATAAGAGGCCATTCCAAGTTTGGAGTTATCTGATTTTTTTTTTAATCCAGCCCCCCTAAACAAAAAGAAGGCACCCATGACCAAGGCATCATTTGAATTTCCATTGTTTAAAAATCCAAACATCTCAGTTGGAGGCTTCTTTTATCTTGAGCCTCTTCACCAGCCTTAGTTGGTTTTAGAAGCTGATTATGGCAGTCCTGGACAGGCTATGGGTCTAGGAGAGGGGATTCCAACAAACCCAAAGGCATTTGGAGGAAAATGCAGTGGGCTCCCATATCAGTCTGGCAATATTGCAAGGGTGTATATCCTTGTAAGTCACCTTGAGTAAGTCCAGTTGAAGGAATGCCCCTGAAAGTAGCTCAGCCTAAATTGGTCTTGAGCTGGCTCTGCTTCTGGAGGTTCTGTAAATCCCCTGAAAAGCAGACTATTGACAACATGAAGGGTATTTTTTAGTATTACAGTATTGGATGAGCTATCCAGTATGGCTTTGTCTCTACCTTTTTAAAAAGATTACTAGCAGTACATAGAAGTAAATTCTATATTCATATCAGCAAACTATGAATTCCTATCTTTGCATCTTGCAAAAGGCAATTTCAAAATGTTGAATTATGACTTGCCCGATAATTCTTGTAACTCCAGTTCTCCTGGGTCGAGAAAGGTTGATTAAAACAACACTTGTTTCCCATATGCTGTCTCATTTTGAATTCTGGTGTCTTTTGTCAATACTTTCTCTTGCTGCTTCCCCCAAAACTAGTTAAATATCCTTTGATAATTTTGCTTTTGTATATTTATGGCAACAATCTTGTATATTATGCTGAGCCTTTTTTTCAAGAAGAATAAGTTTCTGCTCTCAAGAATGCTTCTACAAAACATGTTGTTTGGCGATACTGTCAGTAACACAAATCTTTATCTAATAAAATATGTCTAATCAAAACTCAAAAAATCTCTGATTATTTGGATGAAATTAATTCTAAGATCATTGTGTGTCAAATGTTATGAACGGCTGGTAATATTTATCATCTGAATTATGACCAATGACGTATTTTTGTTGCCAGTTTATGATGCTTTGAATAATAGGAATTTTAGTGCACAAAAATTTGTGATGAATGTGTTAGTTTTTCTAATGTTCAGTGCAGCTTGTGTTGCAACAAATTTAATAAAGATGCCTCTGATATTTTTTCACATGGAAACACACACCCAAAAAATAAATGGATAAATCAAAGTATGCAATAGGGATAAACCTTTGATTCATTTTTATTGTTAACATATTAAATTAATATACAAGTTCAAATATTCTTACCAGTCAGAAAAAGATTAAAATTTATTAAAAAACATTTCTAAGTTGTGACAAGGCACTGTGCTAGTTTACTTCCATTTATAATTCTAAACAAATCAATATCACTATGAAATTTTTAAAAATTCAGGTTAGTACACATACTTTTGCTTTCAAAGTTAAGTGTTGATTGAATATGATTTCAGCTTATTTTGAGGTGATAATTTGAAATTACATGTTATGCCTTATAAATCATGACATTTTGCTCCCCAGTTACACTGTCATGAATAGAAAAAATTACAACCAGATTTATTTATGGAACATAAACATTGAAGTTATGTCAAGCAGGTATAGCATTGAACAGAAAATCATAAATTTTGGATTCTTTGGGAGAGAATGGAAGTTTTTGCATAACTAGAATTGTACAGTACTCTGGACCACAGGACTGCAGTAATTAAATCTAATGCGTTCATAATAGGAATGGAAGTTAGTGTATATTATGATATTCTTTGTGATGAAAGCTATACTTCTAAGTGGGACTTGAAATGTGCAATGCAGATCATTTTTTCTTTCCAAGGTACTCTCTTCCATTTTACCTTGCCCTGTCAATCTTGGTTTTCCATTTCTTCTCCCCTTTTTGCAGATATGATTTGTTTTTTACTCTGAAATACCGATAGCAAAATATCCTGTTGGGAGTCTATTTGATATATTAAGTCCAAAATGCATGGTAATGGACTCCAGGGGAGAGTTATGAGTAAAATGTTAGTACATTTTTGTGGTTGCCTCGAATGAGCAAAACTGGAGGTAGGTTCTTGGAGAGGATTTCTAGCCAAGCCATGTAGAGGTAATCCGATATAATTCCTTTTCTTGCCACTGGTAGGCTCCTGTTGAATTAAATAGGAGGAAGTATTAGTAATACTCATGCTAGTATATAAATAGTCTCCTAGGCTAGGGTACCAGATGGAAGCAAACAGCTACAGAAAACTCTAATTTGAACTGTAGATGACTATAATTCAATTTACAATCTTGCCCCTCAAGTCTCAATAGGGACAACAAATTAAATATATATATGAAACTTACACAATAATTAGATTAGCAGCTCGAGAGTGTTCCTGTAAGAGTTCATTCAAACGGACCTGACGGTAACTCTGTTTAAAATCAAAAGTTGATTACATTAGAAATAATGTTTTCTATCATCCTTAAAGTTTAAATACATCCCAGACATTCTTCTTTATGAATAACTTTGAAATAAATTCATGTACAATTCTGCCTGTCTTTGGATAAATCTGTTGACTGAAATATGACTTTTGCAAATTAAGTATGTAATTTGCAAATTGGAAGCAAGAAACAGACTGACATTTTCTCTTATTAAATCAATATAAATCCATATTTATCTTTTTAATGAAATACTCATGACTACAGACTATAATAACTATGGACATAAAGAAATTAAGCGTTGGAAGGATTTTAAAAATGTATGATTATCTTGTGCTCAGATCAACGATCCTACTGAATCCTACTCTGATCCTACTCTGGCAACTGTCCCAGAAATGCTATCCTTAATGTTGAGAGAATATACAATGAAGTTTAAGTATCATATGTACTTGTCCCATTCAGCTAACATACTATATATCCCAAATTAACATTCACTATTGGAGTTTGAGCAGTGCAAAGAAAACGTTTAGGGTTCATGTTTTCTGCAAATGCTTTGATGTGGGATGACAGAAACCGTTGCAGAATTCAGTACTAAATTATATCTCTTGTATTGGATGTTCTCCCCATCCATCTCCTGAAGAGTGAATCCCAGTTGGTGCAATTGTTCAAGTGCTGGCCTACAAACCGGAACACTGTGAGTTCTAATGAGGAACAAGGACCACAGAAATTATTGTTGCTAAGTGGTCCTGACCTAAAGACCACATAGCCTTGGTGGGAATTCTGGTCCTAGTTAGGATTGTTAAATGAGGACTCCTTGTATGGATTTTGGAAAGCATAAACTATAGGGCAATTAAAGAAATATTGCCTTCTCTTCTAAGTTAGTGCTTCTTAACCTTGGCAGCTTGAAGATGGGTGGAGTTCACTTCCCAGAATGCTGGCTGGGAAATTTTGGGAGTTGAAATCCACCCATGTAAGCTGCCAGGATTGAGAAACACTGCTCTAAGGTTTGAAGCAAAGTTTCTGCCAACTCAAAAGCTTTCTCCAAGTCAAAGGAGGTTCTTATGTTAATAAAACGAATAATCTCCATCAAAGTTATCACTTTAAAATGGTTATGCATAAAATTTGGTTAGAAAGAGCAGGAGATAAAAACCATGGATATGATGGATTCCCCCCCCCCCCCCCCGTGG